GCCTGCTGATACCAATGCTGTTGCCTTTAATTTCATATGGCCTACGTTCTAAAGGAATTAAATTGTGTAGTACTCCATCTTCCTGGCCTGACTACCCTGCACAACCTCCTCACTACATCCAATGTCACCACCCAAATCTCATTCAAACATCTAACTATCTTCCAACCTGACTATCCCACCAACCACCTGACCACATCCCCTGAACCCTGATTATTCTCTGACTCGAATACACTGGACTAGGCAAATGCTTGGCCTGACCTAACCAGGCCACTTTATCATCTAAGTACCCCAAAACCCAACCCAACTGTAAACCCCATCCCAATCTGATTAACTCACCAGTCTGACCTGACCATCCCGATCTACCCTTCAACCTCATCCACCTGCCACCCTGTCCCTTTATCCAATTCTTTTGTTCTGTAATTTCCCAAAGAGGCTTTGGACATTTGAACTTTTTAGTTACCAGAATAACACAGCTAGTGTCATATAAAGGGTTGTGTTCTAAAAAAAGTTCTTTTCACTGCTGCCTAGGAAATTACCTGTACTTTGTGAGCTCTGCAGGATCATCCTTTATGCATTTTTTTTTCCTTTATGCATTCACGGGATGAGGACCTTGCTGACTAGGCAGCATTTGTTGCCAATCCCTAATTGCCCAGAGGGCTGTTAAGAGTCAACCACATTGCTGTGGGTCTGGAGTTGCATGTAGGCCAGACCAGGTACGGATGACAGTTTCCTTCCCCTAAAGGACTTTAGTGAACCAGATGGGTTTTTCCAACAATCAGCAATGGATTTATGGTCATCATTCTTAATTCCAGATAATTATTGAATTCAAATTCCACCATCTGACCTGGCGGGATTTGAATCCGGGTCCCCAGAACATTATCTGGATCTCTGGATTAACATTCCAGTGATAATACCATTAGGCCATTGCCTCCCCAATTGGTAGGTCCATTGAAAGAAGGCCCAAAAAATAAATCAGAGGTAGGTAACTACGTAATGTTTTGCCTAATCTAGGTCAGAAATATGGACTCTGACCCAAGTTAGAAGATTTGGGTCACTGTCTTGCCAAAAGCAGTAAAAATGGCTTGAAATGCAAAGATTACTGAAGGCACCAATCCCAAAATTTTCAGGTAGTATTGCTTGTCTTATAGCGAGTTAACCTCTGGGATTAGTTTCCAGTGATCAGAAATCTTAGCTATGATAAGTGGATCATAATGAATGTCAAAAATATCATTCCATTGATGCATTGCTTAAGAAAGGAAATAGGTTTTGCTGATGACACACAGCTTACCGCTGGTCCTGGACCAATGGGTTTTCTACAACAGGAGATGGCTGACTTAGTGGTTGGTCATCCGGAGCTGGAACACTTTCTGGAATTAGAGCTGGAGCTTGTGCCGGAATTTGGGATGGAGTTGGATCTGGAGCTGGAGTTGGATCTGGAGCTGGTGCTGGAGCTGGATCTGGTGAGGGTATCACAGTCACCATCAATAAAAATTACCAAGCTGCAATGTACTACATGGATTGCTAAGGAAATTAAAAAGATTTAAGCAATAGTCTTTTTTCTTAATGCATATAATTCCATGCATTTCCCCACTTGCTCTCACGGCTGAGACATGGAGAGTTGTAGCTTACTGACGAGAAACATCACAGGTTAGACACCTATTCTGAAATAGCTGATCACAGTGGGTGAAACACAATTAGAGTGAATTACAGAAGGCAGTCAAAAAAAATACAAGCCTAGGTTTCCATTTCTGATTGCTCGTAAGTGGCTGCAAGTGGAAAATAAATGTGTTAATTGGGTAAAGGCAGGATCAAATCTGAGGTGGATTGCCCCTACAGTCAAATAGTTCAACAATCTAAGAGCACACAAGAATAATTTTAAGAGATAGGTGATGACAGTAACCAGTGTCTGTGGAAATGTAGCACAGAAGTCACTGCCCTGCGTAGAAGGGAGAGTAATCGAGGAAGGCAAAATAAATCAGAAAATGTTTGTTTATCCAAATTCTTCATCTGTTCAATTCCAGATTGTGACAAAATATTTAAATGCAAATTCTAAATAACTGAATAAATATTCTCAGGAAATGTTTAATATTACACAATCCTAATTAGTTCCAACAAAATCTCCCTTTTGAACCAACGAAATTGGAACTATTGCACTCTGTTTAATATTTTTAAATCTATCACTTAAGTAAAGGAAAGTGGATAATGCTAGACTCAACCAACAATGATGATCAATGTGATACAGCAAGTAATTGAAGGATGGTGGAAGCAATGTAAAGGTGTTTTGATCATAATATGAACTTCAATCCAAGCATTCAGCGAAATTCAGAAATTCAGCTGTCCAATTTTTAACATCACCAATAATTACTGTTCAGTTTCCAATGGTGAAATCCAAGAAATTCAATTGCCTGCTAAGTAATTTTGGCCCTGATTGTGATCAACATTTACCTGTGCTTGGTTCTTCTTCCTTAATCTGCATTGGGAATCCACATTTAGATGATGAGTTAAAAAAAAAGATAAAACAAACATTTGTAAGTCAGCAACATTCGTAACAAGAAGAGTGGAATATAGTAAAAGATATTCTTGAGGTGGACACAGAATTCCAATACTCCATGACCTACCTCCATTGTATGAAATTCCAAACACCATTTACCCTCATATTCCACACATCATAAAAAATTGTAAACACTATCAACAAACTGGTCATGTTCCCTTTGAATAAAATTTCATTAAATTAATAATCCCATTAATGTGTGGAATTCTAATGTACGATTTCCAAATTTTATCATTTAACTAGCAGGCCCTTCTGTTTACAGGAGGTCCCTATAATTAAATTATATTTCTGTTTAGCATAAGCTTGGGAAGATGGTAGCACAATGCTGATAATTCAGAAGCCTGGGTTAATGTTCCAGAGACATGGTCCAACTGCTGTCATAGCAGCTGGTGGAATTTAAATTTAATGAATAAATCTAGAATATAAAAATTAGTCTTACTTGTTGTCTCAGGTTTTGCTGTATATAGTCTGTCTAGTTAACCAGTGTCCTTTGGAAAAGTTAATCTGCCATCCTTACCTGGTTTAGCCTGCATGTGATTCTAATTTCACATCAGAGTTTTCAATTTTTGAGTGGTCTAACAAACCACACAATACAAGGTCAATTTGAGATGTGCAACATACACTGGATATTTCCAATGGTGCCCACATTCCATGAAAGAATGAAATAAATCTTACCAGATTATACTGAATTCCATTTTTCCATGAACCTTCCCCATTTTACAGAACTGCATACACCATTAACCTGCTTGATTGCATAAAATTTCAGTGTATAACTTCACACTGCTCTGAATTACTATTCCAACATAATACTTTTGGTCTTAATCATACACAATTCCAATGTTCTATTCTTCTGTATGCAACTTTGCAGTTAGTTTCAAGCTGCTATTCTTCTATCACTCTAGTGTTCCAAGGATATTTCTCCACCTCACTGTTACACTTCTAATATAATAACAGCATTACACAACAGAACTTGAAAACACAAACCAAACTCCCAGCATAGAACTCCAGTTATGTTTTTTGTATTTTGTGATTCATTTATATAACACCTTTATAGGAATAAAGTTTTCAAAGATGTTTCCAGCACTGTTATCACATAAAATTATGAAAAATTTGGTCGGATAGATTTTGTGGAGTGTCCTAAACGAGGAGAGATGGGTAGTGAGGTAGAGAGGATTAGGGAAGGAAATAACAATCTCAAGGGTGGAACAAGTAAAGCTGCGGAGGCAGAAGAGGCCATAATTGGAAGAATGCACAGATTTGGAGAAACTGTCTAGACGAACTCAAGACAGGGGGCAGAATCTCATAGGGTCTGAGTGAGATAGACTACTATAAGATATGTAGCCGAATCAGATGAGAAGTCCAATGAGACCATCTCAATGTCAGAAGGAAGACATGCAACTTTTTTGACTTTCACAAGTGGCATGATGAGTTTCTCACTAGGCAGCGGTGAATTGCCAATTAAGGGGGATTATTGTTTGTTAAACACCTTGGTGGCAGCCCGACTTGCCTAATTAATATTCTTCTGTTCTCATCCTATCTTACTGGACATGAAAAACACAAAAAAAAATTGAGAAAACTCAATACCTGGTGAATTCAGCTCACCTCTAGCTCTGAATGACTACTATATTGCGATATAACCAACATGCGCCTTAAGGCACAACCTACAGCAGCAGTTGCTCGTACCCCTTGTCCAAGGACAATGGTATCGGACATCTGCCAACCATGGCAACTCTCCACTACACTAACAGGTTGCTCATGAAGCACAGACCTGCACTGCAGGACTGACCAGCAACTAATGTTGAAATATCTGCAGTAGGACATCTGGTGCACATGGACAGGCATCTAGTGCTCAGATCAGGCTAAGCCACATCTCAAGGCTCCTTGCTTGCTCTTTCAGCCCTCGCACACTGAACACCTATCTGCATGCTCACAGCATCATTGCCTTGCATTGTTTTGCCTTGCTTGTTAACATGTTGGCGCTTCAGTCAGAGCCAAAATCTGTTACTACTGGTGTTTTGAGGTACTCTTCTGCACAGACATGCAGACAGACTGCTTGTCATGCTTGTCAACAGGGATCTGTCTGTCGGGATACATTCTCACTATATGGGCGTACTGTTATGTCAATTTAACATTTAGGACATATGTCAACTGTTTGCGCAGCAAACACCCTGCACTTTGATTGAACCAAATGACCATGTCAAAAACTGTTGACACTAGTTCTCAGAGATAGTAGGAACTTCAGATGCCGGAGAATCTGAGATAACAAGGTGTACAGCTGGATGAACACAGCAGGCCAAGCAGCATCAGAGGAGCAGGAAGGTTGACGTTTCGGGCCTACACCCTTCTTCAGGAAGTTCTCAGTCCAGTTTTAGCGGGGCGGTGTTTGCTGTTCGTTACAGGGTCTTGGTATCATCAGTCTGAGCCCAGACTGCATATTCCACACTCCCAGAAATGCCCAACATGGGTAAAATACACATGCTAGCTTTAGGGGGTAAATGCTCAGGATCCATATTTGCTGAATGCTAGGACATTTTAGCAACCACATTTAATTTGCAATTACTTCATTGGTCACTTGTGGAGTGAAGCTACTTAGGGGTCAGATTCTGGTCTAAGGGGTTTGCATTACGCTGATGGTGCTTGCACATTAAACTTGAGCACCTCAATAATGTGGAAATTACAATGACATTACAAAAGGTCAATGCTGGCTGAAGGGGAAATCACTATTCATCCAACTTCCAGGGGTATTTTATGAGCCATACAACACTGCATCTTCATCTATCATGTAGATGCTATGATGGTCTGCACCGAATGCAGTACGAAGGTAGGTATTTGTTGTGGGTCTGGGATCGATAGGGTGTTGGAACACTATAGGCACTCCCTTTTTGATGGTGTCGGGTCACTTAGCTGGCACAGCACCTTCACTAAGTTGCTGCATATGCTGAGACTATATGCGGATGTTGATTTGTATTCATTCATGGGCCAGCATTTATTGCCCATCCCTAATTGCCCTTCACCTGATTGACTTGCTAGGGCCCTTTCAGAGAACAGTTAAGAGTCAACAACAATGTTGTGGGTCTGAACTGACTTGAAGGCCAGTCTGGGTAAGGACAACAGATTTCCTTCCTTAAAGGACAACAGTGAACGAGATGGGTTTTTATAACACTAAACATTGGTTATGTGGTCGTCATTAGGAACACTTTTTTATTTCAGATTTTAATTGAATCCAAATTTTACCATTTGGATAGGTGGAATTCGAGTACATGTCCCCAACTTATTAACTTGAGAATTAACTAGTGAAGCAAACTCTGTCCTCATCTGCAGGGTTTGCCATTGATGATTATTCTGAGATTTGAGAAATTCTTTCCCTCTATTCGTATTTAAGGTACTTTCTGCAGAGAGTCATGGGCTCTACCACTGATGGCATGTTACTCACTGTGGCTGCCTGCCTAAGAAGATAACTGCAAGAGGACCAGGGCCAATGGCAAGCATGACAGCAATAGGCTCGTGTGGAGGACCAGAAGGACCCTGCTCAGGGATGAGTTGCAGCTGCAAATACCCTCAGAATGCATGTGGTGTGCAGCAGACCCACAGTTTCCTGGCTCTGACTCCACTTCCTGGGATGAGTGAGATACACTGCCAACACAGGTTTCTATGTCGCAGGACCGTCTGATGGAACTATGTCTGATACAGGACTGGGAGGTCATCCTCTCCTGGTGACGTGAAGGTCATTGTTGTGCCGAACATGAAACTGTGTGGGATCTCTCAGTCATGCACCCATAAATGCATGAGTACAGTGACCAATGCCATCTGAGCAAGATCACATCAATTAATTTTGGTCTCAATTACAATATCAGTGCTCCAGCCTAGGCAGCTGGATTTTGGTAACATAGCTGGGCTCCCCTGGGTGCAGGGTGCCATCAAAAGTACATATGTGGTACTGAGAGGCAGAATTCATCAACAGGAAGTGGTCCCATTCAATTAATGTTGAGATCATCCATGATCATCATTACTACTTCATGGACATATGTACGCAGTAACGTGGCAGATGCTATGACACATATATTCTGGAGCACTCTTCTGTATCTAGCCCTTTTAAGGTTCCAGGTGTGTTGCAAAGTTGGTTACTTGGAGACAAGAGCTACCCATTGTGTTCCCGGCTCACGGTCCCATTGCATAATCCCTGACACAGGCAGAGTGCAGATTTAATGCTGCCCATGCTCCAACCAGGGCCATGGTGGGATATTATTTAAGATATGGTTCTGTTGCATGGACCAGGAGCTGGGGAGGTCCTCCAATATAGTCTGGGCAGATGTGTCATATCATCCTGATGTATTGTGTTCTGATAAGCTGGATGCTTAGGAACTGGGGAAGCAGGAGCAGCCTTCTGAAAGGAGGATGAGGACATTAGGGAGGAGAAAGCTGTCATTGTCTATGCATTAGGCACTACAAGCAAGAGAAAACCTCTTTGACTCCTGCTTCCAATAGATGAGAGCTGGGTGCAGCAGTCAATCACGGGTGGAAAATAGTCTTTCATCATGATGCCGAAATCTAGTTTGCATTGTCAGGGAAAATATCAGCCCCCATTGGTTTTGATTGTGTTCCCTTTTACCTTCTGTAAATAAAAGCTCATATTTGTATTTGTCTGATTGCTTGCCTGTATGTGATGTTCCCCTATTGGGCAATGATAATCTACAGGTCTACAGTCAGCTTTGGAGACAGGATAATGCTGGCTTGCACAGTGTTCAGATGGGTTGTAGTTATGGTTAGTAAAATGAGTGGTATGGTGGCTAAACTGTGACTAGCTTGAGAGAATGGGCTTGTACGCATATGGGAGTATTAGCCATGTCAGCTATGTGACGGTCAGCAGCATGACATTATGGCTGCTCTGTTCTGACATTGCTGGTGAGGGGCAATGCTGGATTGTCAACATTTATCTGGGTGCGCAGAGGCCTTTCAAGGACAGTATGAGCAAAAGGACCATTGGTCTTTCAACGGATAACCACTGAATGTGCTGGAACAAACCTGTGGTAGGTTGGAGATGGAATCAGCTGTAAGAAATGTCATGGGGCAGGGTAGGTAATTAATGCGGTGCATTTAATAAGAACTTGCTAGCCTCATCATGAAAAACTCTCCAAATCTCTAAACAACTCAGTCTTAGATGAAAATATATAAGATTCAGTTCTAAGAATCTGTATACAGAACAAGACTGTGAATTTTAAAATATCAGGTGCTGACAGAAAACATGCACAGAGATGACGAGTGAATGGGACATACTGTAAGTTAAGCTACTGGCAGCAGAGCTGCAGTTTATATAGGGTAGAAGATCAGAGGCTGGCCAGGAGCATATCAACTGATACAGAACTAAGATATTCTATCGAACTCATGAGTAAAAGCATTAGAAATATCATTAAACCATTAAACACCATCATGTAGCCGCATCAAATAGATTACCTCTATTTCCTTTTCAGATTCAGCTGGTGCAGGTCTTGGCAGTGTGGAGCTACCAAGATGTTGTGGAATGAATCTGCTTAGATTCTGCGCAATCCAGACTAGGACACCACCTCCAGAGCTGTACAGAAAGTGAATAAATTAATTGCAACAGCCAAAGATATTTTGGGGAACAGCAAGGAAGTGGTTTTCTATAAATTTACACTTTCATTTGAACTCTAATCACCCAGACCAGAGGCACATATCTAAGTATTACTCGTGGAATAGATTTAAGATTTCAGGTGCTAATGGAGGCTGGTCAAAGAGGCAAGAAAGTCAAGGGTCAATGAGTTTTTCAGGACAACCAGAATTAACATAAAATTACAGCATTGACCTTAGCAAGAACAATAAGTCAAGAGAGATAGAGCAAGTTAATAAGAATGCGGTTATTGGCCCCAGCAACAATAATCCTACCAAGTGGCTGAGTAAGAGAAAAGGAGGGAAAGAGAGAAAGATAGAGGGAGATGGAAAAAGAATTGGTGAAAGATGTAGAGAAAGATTGATGGATAGCTGGAGAATGTGGTCATTGGATGTAGCAGGAGCATTGAGAACAACGTGATTGGAAAAAGAAGCAAGAATGATAATGAGGAAAACCTTTCTATGCAATGATTAATGAGGATCTGGAATGCACTGTCTGAGAATGTGGTGAAAGCATAACAACTCATAGTTTTAAAGCAGCATTGAACAATCTGAGAGGAAAAAAACGTGCAGGGCTATGGGGAAAGGTAAAGGAGTCAAATAGGTAATTTGCTCTTGTAGAAATCAGGCATGGACCCAATAGCCAAATGACAGACTTCTCCTCCATAACCATTCCATGATTCTATAGGTCACTGGTCATGCCATGTTCAAACTCTGTATAGAAGGCAAGATCTTACAGCTGTACTACTCATAAACAGCATATGATATTTAGAAAGAGGAAGCTTGGATATTAGTAATGTGTTACTGTCATAGGATATAAGAGTGGAAAACTTAACCTCTTCCATCAAATTCTCTAAACCTTAACAAACAATTTTCATTACAAAATGGCATTCCATGAAAACCATTTAAAACTAATTTTTCTTTTCAAAACAAATCCTTGTTGCAAATCTATAGACATATCAAAGTATAAACTATAATAATCTGTGCCTCATACCTTGTTTCTGTGCAAGGCAATGGCACCTGGTCAGGTTCAGCTTGTGTTTCTCCTGGGTTAGAACATATATTTGAAATAGAAACAACTCAAGTCAGATAAGGTAAGAACCACAATAACACTTTGCTTTGTCTCCAATTTATCCATGCAATAAATATTCTATAAGGTTGTTTTCATGCATGATATAAAAAATGTTACAACAATAACCAAATTCATAAATATTATCTCTTCCCTCCTGAGACATTAATCTCAGTGAATAATCTATCTAGAATAAGCTCAGGGTCACATTCTGGTGAGCATAGCACTGACACAATGAAGCTAGAGGAGGAAGAAATGATTGAGATAGGTGACCAACCTCTGAGTTTTCATATTTTACCTCCAGGTGACACAGCCAAGCGAGGGCAAAGAAAAGAAGGGCCCCCATCCCAGGCCCATCTCTACCAGGTCCTTGAACCAAACCTCTGATGATGAACAGTCACAAACCATAAAGGACACACCATCAAGGCCTTTCTGCCACTGACCACTAGCGCAGACATCTACTTTGATGGGTAATCTGGAGTAGCCTCTGTGTCATGTTCTGGTCAGCACAGCAGTGAAACAGGCTCACAGCTACAGGAAAAAGAAGCAGCAAAGGTCTCTGAGACCTGGAGGACTGTTGAAGAACAGTACAAATGATAAGCCTCTGGACTCAGCCACAATGGGCTCAAAGAGATGGATTGGTAAGTGGGGGAACATCTGGCAGAAATGCCGAGAATCATTAGCAGACTGGAGCAAAGGGCAGCTGGCCCAAGTTCTTTCTGATGCTGTGGCTGTAGCATGTGAGTGCATGGATGCCTGCACGGAATTGGTGGTGGCCTCTGCACAGCCAGATCCAGCAGAACAATCAATACTTAGTTGATATGTGCTTGGATCTTCACTCCATCACTTTTGCTATGAATGCATTCATACACTGGGTAAGTGAGAGAAAACTGAGGGACCTTGACCTTTCTCCAGGTACCCTTGCTCCTCAAGGGGCGAGGGAGACGCCAGTGCACCCTGACAGGAAGGACAAATGGTAGACCAGGGGATTGTCACCTCAGGATTGCCCTGAGATGTCCTGCTATATTACCGCCACTCTGCCAGGGACCAAAATGCCTCCATCAGTTATACCTGCACCTGTGCAAGAGCCCTCAAGGAGGGTGGAGCCCACTAAGCCCAAGATGACTAACTGCTGCCTGCTAAGCCATTTGAGGTACGGTGGCAAAGCAGTCAGCCTGCTTTCTCATCACTTTGAACAACAGTTCAATGGTTTTTATCAATCTATTAACACTTCTGACTCCTTATGTTTTTTTCTTGTAGATGTCCTTGACGGGTGCTGATCCTCAAACATACTCACATGAGCAGGGCAAAAAGCTTTGAGGCTGTCATTCTCTGCAGCCCTCTGGAGGAACATGACCTCCTGAAAGCAGGATTTGAAGTGAGACGTTTGTGTTTTGGAAGTCAATCAGCACAATTTAGCCCCTCTACATTCTGCAATGGAGGAATGCTCCTTGCAAACTGAGGTTGGAGTCATTTAAACACAGTCCCCATATAATCCTGCATAACTCCATTCTGATGCCCTGGCCAGGAAACTGAACAGAAGGTTATTGGTGCCAGGGAATGAATTAATTTACAAGTAATAGCAAAGTATCTTAGTGTTTTAAAGGTATAAAGCAAGTATTCCCATGAGGAACTCAGAAAAATTCAGGGGCAGTGCCAGCACAGTGAAGCTAGCTGTTTGGTAAGAAACTGGAATTGCGTTGTAATTAGGCATTTGCAAGCAGTCTCAGGCATTCTGGGGAAAGTAGTCAAGGGAGAAAAGCTTGAATTACCAGGAGGTGAGCGGTTATTGCTGGCTGAATTGGAGCAGTGTTTGAGGACATTCAGAGGTTAGAATCTCACAGGTGAAGATTTGGTATCTCTTGTGAAAGAGGCAAGGTTTCAAACAGATTTGGTGACACAGTGTTATTAATGTGTTGGTGGGAAATCAGTGGGACCTGTCATGATCTGCATCTGCTAAGTGATGTGCACCATAACTTTATCTGTAAACCCTTTCCCATCACATGATAATTTTGGATGTTGGAGTGTAAGGCATATATATTGTAGATTGTTTTTATTTTCTAACCTAGCACAGTATATTTTGTTTGTTTCGAAACTGTGGAATCTTTGGCTTTCTTCTCTTTGTAAGTACCTAGGATTTCAAATTAGTCTACTTTTAAACAGAAAAGTTACCAGGCCCTAACCAAATCATAACATAAATTTAGCAGTTTCATTCAAGATTATAACATAGGGTCAGAGATCCTATCTGGAATTATAGCAATAAACACAATGTGTTCAATTCTGCATGTTGTAAGATTCATCTTCAAGTCCACTTTAACACACATGTTATGATCAGTAACATTATTGAACATAATCAGGACACACAGAATCAGGAATAAGGGAATAATGGGCACTAAAGAAAGAATTTTAATTAGCTACATAACTTCATTATGAAAAAAAAACTGTTCAATGGACAGCAACAATTAATTTGGAAATAAATTCACAGATATTATTCTTACTGCTGTGGGGGTGCTATTTGAGCTCTGTATTATAAGAAATGATGAAATGTTAATTGAGAAACACTGTACATAATGGGTCACATAATTTGAGGATGATAACATCACTTAAAAGTATCAACAAGATGCTGAAGAACCTCAGTATTTTAAATGTACACTAAATGTAGTCAAACTCACCTGTTTCATTTTTTGGTAAGGAGACTTGGTCTGCATTTTCTGTAAAGTTCTCTGTTTTCTATGTTGAAAATACAAACAGAAGACCAATTGGAAGAGTGAGAAATTAATCTTGAGCCAATTTTGGACTCATATTGTAAATACATGATCACCAAATCAGCATTAGGCAAGCTTTATAAACAATTTTAAAAAACAGACATTGCAATAAAACAATTAATTAAATAAAGAAAACAACACAAGCATCATTCAATTCTAACTAAGGAGCTGGCCATTACACCCCCAATCCCAGTAAAAATGGTAAAGTAGACAATACTCAATCCCAGTTGAAAACTGTTCGTGTTATTCATATTTCCATTTGAATCTGTTACTCTTTAATCACATCCAAGAGATTGATCTCCATAGCACAAATATAGATCAGAAATTATGTAGGCATTCCAGAGAAAGGTTTTAAAATAAGAAATTACATTTCAAATTAAGTCTTTCCATGGTAATTATTTTGGATCATACGAAGAATAATGAAATAGTAGTGACCAGAGAAGCCACCATCACCGCAGTCCCTCCATAAAATAAAGATTCTGTTCAATCTGCCTCTTACTGACCTGGAGGCAGAACACGCTATCACAAGCTGTGATAGAAGGGAAAAGTACACATGTACTTAAGAGCTAACTAATGGTGAGGAAAAGATAAAATTATGCTGATAGGGTTTGTGAAGAGGGGCAAGTGGAGGTTCATGTGGAGCATTAACACTGGCATGGGTCAGTTGGGCCAAATGACCTGTTTTGGTTCAATATATTTCATGTAGAACAATTCTGTGAGTTAATGTAGTCATGGTTTAGCTGGAGGCAAGGTATGTCCAGGTACTGAAATATATCAATGTAATGTGACAGCCAATTTGAAGAGTTTGACATATATTTCTCAACAGGTGTGTGATTCCTTGGTGCGCCAATTAAAGCACGTTAACATGCAGTTAGAATATACCTGTATGACTTACCTCTTCTTCTGGTTCTTCTGCAGGTTGAGAGCTACTCTTAACCTCAGATCTGATCTCCAGATGCTTCACTGGCTGAGGCAGTTGTGGGGCAACTTTTGCTATCCAGGTAAACATCCTGCTTTAGGAGAAAGGAAATGATCAATTAGCCAAATTAAGCATTGAGATTGTAAATATTGTTATGATAGTGGTATAAATGGACAAACAATTTTCAACTTCTAACATCCGAATTTTAATACTGGGACCTTCCAGTTACTAAATTAGTTTTAAGGAAGGAAAACACTAATTTAAGATGGGTGCAGTAGTCACCTGACCAGACTGTGCCAAGCTCATGAAACCATAAAGAAGAATCAGCCTGAGTTGAAATTAACTGTCAAAAAAAGGCATTGAAAGTCTGATATGTGTCTCCTGTTTGATTTACACCTCTCTGGAAATTTCACATATAGGATGAAAGTCACCTGCAGGTTATCCAACTTTAAAAACTATGGAAACAAACACAACTGGAAGACTCTCTTTATCACTATTTCGCTCAGCCTCTGACGACAACACCCAATGAAATGCATATTGGAGAAACATCCATTCTGAGAACTCAAATATATATTCCAGTTTTGTTACTGCTGATGATACAAGTTATTCATTAAACAGAAACCAAAAGAACTGCCAATGCTGTAAATCAGAAACATAAGCAGATGTTGCTGGAAAAGTGCAACAGGTCTCGTAACATCTGTGAAGAGACATCGGAGTTAATGTTTTGGGTCTGGCGACCCTTCCTCAGAACTGCTGAGCTTGAAGTTGTAGACTTGCTCGCTGAGCTGGTGTGTTTGATTGCAGACATTTCATCACCCTGCTCAGTAACATCATCAGTGCGCCTCCGGTGAAGCATCAGTGTTCTGACCCACTTGTTATTTATATGCCTCGGTTTGCTGGGGTGGTTGGCATCAATTCCAGTTCTGTTTTTCGGTGGTTTGTATGGCGGGTCCAGTTCAATGTGTTTGTTGATGGAGTTTCGGTTGGAATGCCAGGCCTCCAGGAATTCCCCGGCATGTCTCTGTTTGGCTTGTGCTATTATGGATGCGCTGTCCCAGTCAAGTTCGTGTCCTTCGTTGTCCATGTGTATTGAGGTCAGTGAGAATTGGTCGTGTCTCTTGGTGGCTAGTTGGTATTTGTGTATCCTTATTGTCAGTTTTCTTCCAGTTTGGTCTATGTAATGTTTCTCACAGGCCTTGCATAGTATTTTGTACAGTACGCTAGTTTTATTGGTTGTGGGTATGGGATCCTTTACATGCGTCAATAGCTGTCACAGGGTGGTTGTTCGTTTATGGGCTACCCTGTTACCTAGGGGTCTGAGTAGTCTTGTTGTTATCTCTTGTATGTCTCTGATACATGGTAGGGTGACTAGCGTGTCTGGCCATGTTGTGTCCTCTTGTTGTGGTCTGTCGCAGAGGTAATGGCAGATTGTGCTTTTTGGGTGTCCATTTCTTTTAAAAACTCAGTGTAACTGCTCCTGTTCTGCTTTGTGCAATTCAGGGTTGCTGAAGTGTGTTTTGGATTACTTGAATAATGTCCTGATGCAGCTCTGTTTATGGGTGTTGTTGCCAGCAACGAATTTCTCAAAAACTTTAAACTGCTGAGCTTTCCTAGCAACTTCTGTTTTTGTCATTAATTAAACAACTGTGCTCATATGTTAAAACCCAACACCTCAAGAATCCTCAAGAATTTTTGAAACTAAATGTTCTTGCTCTTCCTTTTGTACTAGACATTTTCCTTTTTAAACTTTATACCTGTGTTCGATTGTATGTTTGATATCATGTTTCATTATTTTTGTGGGATGAGTAAGTAATAAAATTCTCTTTCTTTCGCCCAGAAAATGTTGCAATTGAGTCTTTAAATTTGTCTTGTACTACATTAAAATTGAAATATAAAATAGCTGCATGCTAAAAAGAATTGAAAGAGATAGTAGGAACTGTCGATGCTGGATTCTGAGATAACAAGGTGTAGAGCTGGATGAACACAGCAGGCCAGGCAGCATCAGAGGAGCAGGAAAGTTGACGTTTCAGGTCCAGACCCGAAATGTCAGCTTTCCTGCTCCTCTGATGCTGCCTGGCCTGCCATGTTCATCCAGCTCTACACGTTGTTATCTTAAAAAGAATTGAAAGTCTTGTTTTGTGGCCAACTGAGAGGTTAAAAGGAACGGAGCTGATTCACCCTTCCTCACCTGGTCAGAACAAAAGGAGTGAGCAGGTTGTAAGCAGGTAAGATATTGTAGCCACACTAATATGTCAGAACATGATCATATAAATATTAAGATATAAAACAGACCGCTCACTTCTGCAAAATAATGATGTCACTTGCCCTGCTTTTGAGCAGAATGCCTGCTAAAGAATTAGGAAGATCCAGAAATAGAACAACAACTGGGGCTATGGAGGAAGGAGAAATATTAAAATGTTAACACTGTGAATAAAATTTCCATTCCTGAGGCCTTGAAGGTTGGTTTCAGAATAGTAGAGCAATTCATGCCATGGAGGTGCACTAGGATGACTCAAGGGCAACAGTTTATGAAAGTTTTTGAAGTAATTCTCCACCACATCAAGTGTGCATACTCCATTGACATACAAAACTGAAGCAATTAGGGTTATGATGGACACCTATTGCCTCTGCGATTTCCCAATCAGCTTTGTATTAGCTGGAACTTGCAGTTGCCCAATAACATCAAGACACCATGGCTGAGGGAAGGGAATTCCTGTGCAAGAGTTCTTTCTCCCTTAGCTCAGAAGGGGCCTAAGATCTAAATTATTGGCAGCTGATACAACAGATAAACTGATCTCCAGAAGGACATATGTTGTTCTAACATGGTAAGCACAGGCAAAGCAAGTATGCTGAACTGCTGAAGGTGATTAGAGGTTTAAACAGAACCTTACAATGGCACAGAGGAGGAAAACTAGTGAGAATAACTTCAGCACTGCAGGACAACAGGAAAAAAGTCAAGGATTCTGATGGGTAAATTTAAAATAAGCTGGTGTTTTTGAAGGCTAAGAATATGTGGACTGAAATCATAACAAGTTCCATTTATTTGCCTTTCAAATACCTTTCAAATAGTAAAATATCATGAGGCATTTCACATACATAAAAGTGCTTATAAGTGTTTTAAATATAGCAATGGATGAATATTATCTATTAACTTTCAACAGAAGGAGGAAGAAATAAATTACGCTTAATTTGAATGTGGCCAGTGCTGCTGCAGATCAGAAATGTCTGTAACGTAAGAAGTCAGCGTGTTCAGTGAATTGGCTGTAGGGATTTGTGACTCTAGGACTGGATTTATAAAACCTGTTGAAATAAGGTTACAGCAGTGAATTGCATTGTTCAGGGGAGAGCATGCAGGTATCAGAGGAAGTGAGTCATAGAGTCGTACAGTATGGAAACAGACCCTTGGGCAAACTCGTCTACGCTAAGCAGACATCCCAAACTGACCTAGTCCCATTTGCCAGCATTTGGCCCATGTCCCTCTAAACCCTTCCTCTTCATATACCCATTGAGATGCTTTTTGAATGTTGTGATTGTACCCGCTTCCACCACTTCCTCTGGCAGCTCTTCGCATACACACATCACACTCTGTGCGAAAATTTACCCCTCAGGTCCTTTTTAAATCTTTCCCCTCTCACCTTTTCTCTATGGTCTCTAGTTTTGGACTTCCCTATCCTAGGAAAAAGATCTGGCTATTCACCCTATCCATGCCCTCATGATTTTATAAATATCTATAAGATCACCCCTCAGCCTCTGACACTCCAAGGAAAATAGTCCCAGCATATTCAGCCTCTCCTTAAAACTCAAACCCTCAACTTCTAGCAACAACCTTGTAAATTTTTTCTGCATCCTCTCAAGTTTAACAAGATCTTTCTTATGGAAGTGTGACCAGAATTGTATGCAATATTCTAAAAGTGGCCTCACCAATATCGTGTATAGCCACAACATGCTGTCCCAACTCCTATACCCAATGTACTGACCAAAGACGGCAAGCATGCCAAATGCCTTCTTCACCACCCTCTCTACCTGCAACTCCACTTTCAAGGAAATATGCACCTGCACTCCTAGGTCTCTTTGTTTGACAACACTCCCCAGGGCCCTATCATTAACTGTATAAGTCCTGCCCTGGTTTGCCTTACCAAAATGCAACACCTCACATTTATCTAAATTAATTCCTCAGCCCATTGGCCCAACTGATCAAGGTCCCGTTGTACTCTGAGATAGCCTTCTTCACTGTTCACTACACCACTTATTTTGGTGTCATCTGCAAACTTACTAATCATACTTCCTAAATTCATTTCGAAATCGTTTACGTAAATAATGAAAAGTAGTGGACCTAGCACCAATCCTTGTGGCACACCACTGGTCACAGGCCTCCAGTCCAAAAAGCAACCCTCTACCACCATCTTCTGTCTCCTACCTTTGAGTCAATTTTGTATCCAATTGGCTAGCTCCCCCAGATCCCATGTGATCTAACTTTACTAAACAGTCTAGCATGTGGAACCTTGTTGAATGCTTTGCTTAAAATCATACAGACAACATCTACTACTCTGCCATTATCAATCTTCTTTGTCACCTCTTCAACAAAACATACTAAGCTGTGATGCATCCGGATAGGATGCTATCAATGATGCATCTATAAAAATTGGTAAGCGTAGTTGTGGACATGCCAAATTTCCTTAGCCTTCTGAGGAATTGTTGTGCTTTCTTGACCATAGCTTCAATGTGGATGGACCAGGACAGATTGTTGGTGACATTTACTCCGAGGAACTTAAAGCTCTCAATCATCTCCATCTCAGCACCACTGATCCAGATAGGGGCATGTCCTCCACTCCACTTCCTGAAGTGGATGACCAGCTCCTTTGTTTTGCTGACATTGAGGGAGAGATTGTTGTCTTTACACGATGCCACTAAGCTCTCTATCCCTTTCCTGTACTCTGTCTCATCGTTGTTTAAGATAAGACTCATTACGGTGGTGTTGTCAGCAAAAAATGGAGTTACAGCAGAATTTGGCCACACAGTCATGAGTGTATAAGGAGTATGGGGCTGAGTACGCAGCCTTGCTGGGCACAGGTGTTGAGGGCACGTGGAGGAGGT